ATTAAAAATTATATACCTAATCGTTCTGTATCAACATACTCTGATGATAATAATACACACTACGTGTATATTATACTGGTCCTCGATTTCTTCTTATGCCGTCCGTGTAGCTTGATACGGCTGGACCTATTTTGAAATAATAATAAATAATCAGATTTATAATCACGACAATGATCATGCGTGCCTACAAAATATTAAAATTATTCAGTTTGTTGTAACGATATATAATTTGTATGCCATTAATGATAAGAACTTTATATTAATATGACTTTTAATAATATAAATAAAATAAACCTCTCTTGCGGTTTCTTATCTAAAGTAAAGAAATGCTAAGAATATGTCAAGATTTTGCATTCTGAATATTCTAACGATGATTGCAAGAACGCGTGCGCTTTAGATGATACGTTAAATATATTTATTTATTGAAATAACAGCTATATGTTTATCTAATATTATTAATATTCTACGTATAAATAGTTATTTTATTGAATTTACAGTTTAAGAGAGAAATGATAAAAAAATGATTATAATTATATAATTTTATTATGTCTTATCTTATCTTCATCGGCATTTATCATCAAGCGACCTTTCAGTTAGAAAATATGCCAATTTTGTGTATAAGATAATAAATGAATAAACATACTTACACCTACACACAAAACTTACACATCACGTAACACACACACACACATAGCTTTTGTGCCTCACGCGCCTAAGCATGTATTGATGTTAAAATCTAGTTGAAATAGCATTATTATGTGCTTAACTTTTGTATATATAAATTGATTGAAGAACGAGGGACCTAAGACAATATGTAGTGCGCATAATTTCCATTCAAGCGATATTATAATTTTGAATGGAAAAAGTAATTGTCAAAAATTGAGAAACTCTTACAAACTTATAATCTAAAAAACTCTTATTGCGTCCCACAAAATGGTAAATTTCCTGACGATGGTGCGTAACAATTAAATTGAAATTTGTAATGTTAGATATATAAGGGAAAAAAAAACACACGTATGTTGAATAAATTAGCGTAATAATATTAATTTAAGGATATTGAAACAATTTATAAGGTTTCGATTATTTGCCACTAATAACATAAAAAAACAAACAACAACAAAAATAGTATTTAGTATTTCCAATGATATATGTATCCATATAAAATTTAATTATTATATTAGCACAATAACTGATAATAATGATAAATATTCTTTATAAATGTTTTTTTATAAAAGAAATTCTTTATAAATATTTATCATTATTGTTAATTATTGAATTAAATTAATGACCTAAACTATGACTGTACCAAATCTTTGTTCTTTTTTCTATCTTTTATCTGTGTTTGATATACAATTTTCTATATTAAAAAAAGAAAAGAAAGAAAGAGCTTTATTCTTGAAAAAATTCCATTAGAATTCTAAAAGATAAATGCTTTCATTTTAATTGACTTGATGATTGCATTCAGTCATCGTTCAATGATATATTATGAAAAACCAAAAAAGAGCAAATAAGTATGAATTTAAATTAATGATCGCGTTCCTTTTTCAAATATAATTAAATCGACTAATATTTTAACTTAGAAGAATAGCAGATCTTTTTCCAACTAATTACTGAATAATGTAGATGTAAATGAATCTTAAGCAACATTTGTGGAAGGAACGTAGATTTTTATGTTTATTTATTATTGTACGAATAAAAACCACGTAAAATGATATTGAGTCAAAAGAAATTGTTGTTGTTGTTGATGTTAAATTAAACCCGTTTACAGAACAAGAAAACAAAAAAATATATACATATATATATATATGTTTTATTATAAATTATATATATTTTTTCGTACTTCTTACTTTTTCTAATACTTTTTCAATTAAGTCAGCCTTTTTTGCTTGTCTGTTATGTGGAATCGAGTGTTTGTACAACCAATCGCTTAAAATAACATTGGATACTTCACCCAACTTGTTATTTTTTGCTAAAGTTTCAACATCAATGTTTTTTCCCTGAAAATAAAAACTTCGATTATATTATATTATAAACTTAAGTTTATTAAATAGAATTTCTAAAATATACTCACAAATTTGGTAGTACACATCGCGTTAAATAATTTTTGTTTTAATGTTGTGTCAGCAAATGTATTATCCTTCATTTGAGATTGCTCGAATGGAAAATATTTTTATTAAATTATTTTTTTCTTATTTAAAAAAATGTTGGATTAATACTAATTGATAATTATAATAATTAAAGTAATTACTTTATAAAGCATATTCTGATTCAACAATAAGTTTATTTCCTTAAAAAATGAGGAAGTATTTTCATCAACTACTTGCACTTTGTTCTCGTCATTTAAAGTTTTTGTTTTCTTCAGAGGAGTACTCAAAGAGGGTTGACTTATTTGTTTATTTCTATTAAAATTCATTAATTGTTCAGATCTTTCCAAATAATTAAGATAATTTTCTCCGTCATTTAATTTCTTAACACTTAACGGAGTCGTGGTTCTGTTAGATCTGTCTAGATTAATAATATAAAATAGCAACATTAATATTACATGAATATTAGATATGACAGTAAGAAGTTTTAATACAAAATATTTCAATTAACTGAAATTTATAGAAATACCACATTCGTATCTAATCGTAGGCCCTAATTGTTGACTACAATTTTTATCAATCATATCCACATTTTTATTTGGAATATTCACTTTACTTGTATTCAACTAAATAATCACGAAAACATGTTAAATTATTTAAGTAATATAGTAAGTATGAAATTAACTTGTTTAATTTTAAGTACCTCGTCTGACAAATTTAATCGATGATTTATTTCTTTGTTACTATTGTATATATACAACTGTTTGTCACATACTTTGTTAAATGTATTACATAAATCATGAATAAAATGTGAAATGATACTATTTCCATCTTTGCAAGGGATATATTGAAAAGGTCCTTCTACCACGCATATACTGGGATATATAAAATTATCGCCTTTAGATGCATGGAATTTTACTTCGTAATATATTATACCATCTTCTGTTTCGGGTAAATAATAGCCATTCTAAAAATACAAATATTATTTAAATATAATATTCATAATATTATAAATATTAATTTACTTTTATAAAAGTAAATAAAATAACGATACAGAAATCATATAAATACCATATCTATCCAATATTTGCGTAGTTCATTATAATTTGCAAAAGGACAATTAGAAGGAATATTTTTAGATACAGATACCAGCCTCACTGTTTTCATACTAATTGAAAATAGTATTAATTATATTTACAAAAAATACATATATATATAAATGTTTAATGAAATAGATAAATGAATACCTAGGCAATATGTACACCGACTTGCAATATTTACTTAAATCGATAATACCATTATCATTTGCTTGGAATTTTGTTATTAATGAACCTAATAAACCTAAGTTTTCCAATTGTATATATGGTATTTTGATCTTTATCGGATAGAAGTGTAATCGTGTATTTTCATCTGAAATTTTGTATTCTTTATGTGCGCAATTAATCATATATTAAAACTTAATAATAATAATAATAATCATATTTAATGCAGTACCATTTATAATGATTTTTAGTTTTAACGCATTAAACTCTTCCATTAATACATGAAATTTCATTTTGTGAACATAATATTGCCCAACTTTATTCCATAATGGTACAATTTTACATTGTATAGTGTAATTGAGACATTTTGTGTATACGTCTATCGAAACTGTTTGTGGTTCTGCAAACTTATAAAAATAAGTTAATTAAATATATTATTATAGAAATAAAGTATAAATAAATATATAGAGAATTTACTAAAATATTCAAATTTTTTAAATGTGTTTTCAATTTATCGCTTTCAATAAATTCCTTTGAGGCGATGATGTATATTAAACCAGTTGTTCCAAACATTGGCGATACAATTACTTCTTTAATCATTTGAATTATCATTCTAAAATATAATCGTTTACATACATGGATTAAATAATTTTAAATATAATAATTGTACCACTTATTACAAAAATGGTGTAAGTTTACTTTCATAATTTAATTAAATATGATCAATTTTACCGGCATTTTAAAATTTGCCAATGATAGTTAGATTTAATCGAAAAGTTCGGAATTTTTTCAATATCAATTTCACAAATAATACAACGCAATTCATTTTTATGTGGAATCGATGCGATGTATTCTTGATTAAAATTCTCCATTTTTTACGTATCAAAATATATATATATATTAATTATTTCATCAAATTAATTAATATCTCCAAATGAAATTCTTTACTTTGCTTTTGAAATACTTGACAGTGTTTTGTATGTGCTCTATATTTTGTATATTCCGCCTAAATTAAGATGATGAACTACTACATGAGTCATGACAAGCTATTAATAAAATAAAATAAAATAATTTCAATTATAATATATGAATAATAATATTTTAGAGTAATATTCTATAATAATATTCTATAATAATTCAAATGACTAAAATGAATAATTAACGCTACGATCGTGTATATCAACGTGTAAAGATTTGAATAATTTGACGGGAAAGAGCAACCATTCATACCTTCCAATTTCAAATTTTAAAAACTGTTGAAATTTTGTTAACATAATTTGTTTTAAGATAAACTATTGTTACGGTTTGTTTGCTAATTAAATAAACGCTTTATTAAAATAACTGATAACCACAGATGTACAACTAAAGATGAGTAATCAATTAAACAGAAAATAAAATTGCGAATATCAATATTATGTAAATAATTATTAACACAGCTACCTGCCTATTTATATATACAAGTTATTATTCTTGATCGTCCCTTTTTCTTTCTTTTCTTTTTAGCTCTCTTCTCGTTTCTGTTTTGTTTTCTCACCTAGCAACACTTCGCCTCTCATCTCAAGCATGTAAAATGTATACTTACATATACAAAAATAATTTCGTTCGTAACATTATATAATATAAATTAGTGCTAATTTAGTTTACTTTTGCCTCAATGGCTGATTCATTTAATCAATCTTCTGATCTACTGAAATGGATTCCCAAATTTCACATTGGTAAATTAAAACTTTTCTTTTTTTGTATGTTATATATAATTGTAAAATATTTATTTGCATATACATTTATATACGTGAAATTAAATAAGATTTATTTTACATAGAAACGCTTTGTTAATAATATACAATTAGATATATAATATAGAAAAAAAATATTAATTAGAAAATTAAATCTCTTGTTATTTATATTTTGTTAGATCATAGCAAACTAGCAGTATTGTGCTTTAAAGAAACTTTGTTGATTTGTCTCAAAGATAAAATAATAACGCAGACAGAATCAATTGGAAATTGTAGCATTTCCATAGAGACTATCGGTCCTCTAAAATATGACTTTTTAATTAATACAAAATTCTGCATGAATATTGATGATTATTATTGTGGATCAAAAGTCATCTGTTCAGCAACAAATCAATTCAATTGTCTGGAAGAAAAAAGGACTGAGTTAGTTTATCTCTAATTCAACTATTATCATGTTTCCTGTTTTATTATTATGATAAAAAGAGAATTGATTTCCCAGGTACGTTTATTATAAAAATAGCTTAAATGAAAAAACATTATTTATGGGAATTCAAGGCGATAGTTATTACATAAAAACAACTCAAACGTATCAATGTAACAGAGTTAAGAATTATAAAAATTTAATATATTCACAGAATATAAAACTACTAAGTGAAGGGACAAATTTATTACTTATGAGATATCTTTCGATTATTAATTACAATGGAATTTTAACATTTGGAAACATAACGATTGATGGAAATATCGCTACATGCCAATATGTTAGAAATAATATATATTATTATATATAGTTTTAGTTCTACATGGTTTATATATATTTATATATTTATATTTATTTACCTTGTTTATTCACACACAATTTTCTTTACTAATTAAATATTAACTTTAATTTCCCAATATAGAAGTGCATTCCTGCAGAATACATGAAAATATATAAGAATCATGTGAAAGCATACACGATTGAACGTATAATAGAAAATGAAAATGGAAGTGTAGAAAATATGAAAACATATTTATCTCCGAAAGGAAAAATATTAGAACACAATTGGTCATCAACATCTTACGTGCTAAAAAGCGAATCTTTAGAAAGTGAAAAGCAAATGAATAGAAAACTTAGAATAGCGATACGAAATGATTATTGGATGGAGGATATGGAAATGTTTTCTAAATATTTAGACGAAAAAGTATAAATTACATTATCAATGTATATTAGACAATTGATTAAACAAATATGTATAATGATTGATCGTTATTTTACAGCGTAACGAAGTAACAAAATTCATTGAGTATTTAACTGATCACGTTGAAGTAAAACATTTAATAGCCGACTATACACAAACTTTGTTAATAGGTAAGCTAACTTACATATTAATAATTTAATTTATCCATGGTAATATCAAGAATAATTCAGTCTATACAAGAATATATATATAATATATATATATATATAAAATACAATAAAATCTTTATATTATTCGATATAGAATGTATTTTTACATTAATTAATTAATTAATTATTATTTATATTATACAATTATACAAAGAGATTTACTGATATACTTATCTCATGCCTCTCGATAAATTGTTTTTATTATTTTTGCAGTAAAACCTCTCCACGTGGTAGATTTTACGATACAATATTTTAAGGCATTTTCCATATGTCCAGAAATTCAGGATTTTATTTCAACGGATGAAATTTCAAAGATCGCTATACCTACACAACAAATGGAATATAGGCGTGCAAATATGTGCGATTTTGATCATTTGTGCATGACTTGTAGGATGGTTGATCAAGTATTTTTTTCTTATTATTAGATATACTTTTAAAATGGTAGAAAAATATACAATAATTATTTTCATTACGTATTTACAGCAAAATCAATTGTTCGATGAATCAATAAGTTCTGATTGTTTGACTGATTCGCTGTGCTCAAATGATATATCTTATATCAAAAAAAAAAGTAACGACAGTAACATATCCGTATTAAATCTTCATATTTCAACAGAGAATACAAATGAAAATAATAAAGTATAAAAATAACTAAATAAAATTTTTAAAATTCATAAAATTATTTTCGTATATGTGAAATGAAATCTACGTTGTAATTTATCTTTCTCGTCTTGCATTAGTTTATATAAATTAAGAAATATATTATTTTTGTATTTATCATATATATTAATTGATAAAAAGAGAATTACTTTATTGCTATGATGATTATGATTTATAAATTAATTTGCAATAAACCAAATATTTGAAAATTACGTAAAGCAATTAAATCAAATAAATATAAACAATGACAGTAATAAGCAAGAAAAATGAATGTACTATTAAAACAAACTAACATCTCCCTAAGCTGTATGAGTGTATCTTGCTTATAACAATCTATAATTGAAACAATGTACAATGTTGTTTGTAAGATCTTACCTGTATCATTTCCTACCTGGTGATGTTTCTTTTTGTGAATTACAAATTACACAATTTTCCTAAAACAATGAATAACAATGAAAATATTACGTAATTTTTAAGAAGAGATATTAACCGTTCGAATTCCACAAACAGCAAAAACAGAGCTGTACAGATTACTTGTCAAAAAGTGCTACATTATTGAAATGCGACATGTAATTGCATTGTAATTAGTCATATTGCTTGGTATTTGTTGATACGATGTTTCTAAAGACTACTGGGACTCAAACGGTTAAAGTTAATATGCAATAATGTTACATACTACTAATTTGAAGTTTGGTAAACAGTCCTCGTGGAATGAATGCTTACAATAAAATATTACTAAATTTTTGGATTCTGCAATAAAAATTCCAATTAGAACCATTCAAACTTTTCACAGATATCTGTACGTGTTTGGGTTATGCTTACAATTATAACAAATATATTTCTAATTACTTTAAAGAAAATATATTTATCGTTCGTACCTCCCATAATAATCTTTCTATGGCACGCTCCGCACAATTGATCATCTAAATGAATATATGAATCGAAAATAAAGATTGATTAAAACTTAATAATAATAATAATAACAAATACAAATATTTTGTATAAAAATTTATGATTTATCGACCAAAGTACATACCGTTTATAAGTATACCTTTCTGATGACAACGAACCAATCTCTCGTGAAGATTAAAATAATCATTAGATAAAATTTTCTTGCATCCTTCTTGTATAGACACTTGCAGATTATAATCACACATCATTTTAACTAAAGCTTTTTTTAATCCAGGTATTTCTAATGATGGATTTATTCTCTGTACCATCAGTCTAGGATCAACGTACGTTCCAATGTTTTGTAGAAGAAATGTGATAGCCTCTGAAAGATAAGAAAGTCTACATAATGTTAAATAAACTTGAGAAAATGTATTCATTTAAGATATACCGCAAGTTATTATTTACTTGGTTTGTCCAACGAATAATTAACTAAATCATTCCATAATTCTTCATCGTCGTGCTCTTGACAAAAAGCAATAGCACTTTCCATATCGTCTAATTCTCTAGTCATAAGAGCCAAAGCTTCGGATATATTGCCTATTCTTCCTAAAAGATATACCATCTCTGGATAAAACTTTCGTTGACTACAAATATCTAATGCTTCTTGTATTAAATAATTATCGGAACGACGTAAAAGTGGAAGTAGTTTATCTCTGGAGTATTCCGCATAAAGTTGTACCAGTAATCCGTGATATTTCCCTTTGGAATCTTTTGTGTCTATTTTATCTAAAGCGTCTAGATACTATAAAGCAATAATTTTCAAATTACATAATTATATTAGAATTTCTAATCTTGAATTATTTGTCATTCTTATTATATATACCATATATAAGTAAAGATGTTTTTGTTGCAATTTACGAACAACTATTTCAGGTGGCACTCTAAATTGATCGTTATCTTTTTTCAAAAGAAATTGTATTGCACGTTCCGCATCCGAATCCATTAATTCTTCTATCATATCATATACAGAATTATACAGTTGATATTTTTGTATTAAATGAAAGACATCCTTGTGTCTTAGTTTTAAATACATCGCCAACGCTTTATCATATTTCCCATCATGAATATATAAAATCGCTAATGCTTCCAAAAGAACATTTTGTCGTTGTTTGTGAACTAATAGATGCTCCAAAACACCGTTCACGACAGCTGCTACCGTGTATAATGTTGGCGACCATTCTTTAACTAACTCGAGAAAACCATCTGGATCCATTTTTAAATATTCGTATAAAACCATTTCGTAAATTAATGGATCTAGACTTACATCACCTCTTGGAAGATAAGAAGAAATAGATCTCAGTTGATGAACCATTGCAAATTTATAAACCTATTAAGATAAAAAATATTTGTAATAATAAACGCGTGACCAAAATTTTGTTATCTTTTAAAATAACCAACCTCTTCTTCCCATAGTTTTTTATCCCGGCCTAAAACTTTTAGGCATAATTTTCCAGCCTCGTCGTACTTTTCATGAGCCAACAGATGATCTAAATATACACGACCCACGTCAACTAAAGTATGTCGTTTACATTCTTTTCCATTACTAGCACTAACAGCTTCTAACGCTTGTTCAAATTTTCCATGACTTATTAACCATTCAACCCTGTCATCGCAATCATACAAACTCGCTACAACTACGTCTTTCGGACTTACAATAAAATACCTAAATATGTAAAATATTTCTGTTATTTTTATAATAAATAATTAATCATGCTCTATAAGATAAACATGTTATAGAATATTTCTCACCTATTTTCGCTAGTCAAACAATCTAAATGATAGTCATTACAGCTGTACTCTTTATAGCCTCTTAAAGTCAATGAATTAGCACAAATCACAGAGAAATCTTCGCACTTTGGTTCAACAATGTGCAAAGTTGGTCTTTGACTTTTACTATCTTTATCTAATTCTTTTAAACATCCTAATAATATCAATTGATTGTCTAAAGGGGCGATACCAGATATATAAAAATCCACTTGAAACGTTGAAACTGAAATCGAAATCGTATTATAAGATATAAATTTGGAAATATTTTTTAATCAAACAAATGTAAATAATAAACAATTTACCTGGATCAACTACGAATTCAGGTAAATCTCTATTAACCATTTCTTGCATCGATCTCTTTTTTATCTGGCAGATACGCACTATATCCACCCATCCGATCAGTAATGTTCGATCATCTGACCAACGAAGATTACATCTATAGTGTTCTGGTAGCGCTCTACATGAAACATGGTATTGAAAACATTTCTGAAATAATATCTTTATATATAGATTGTAAATTAATTCATTTAGAATATATTACTTACTCATCTGTTTTAGTCCACTTAATGAGACCTAACGAACATCTAGCATTTAAATCATAAACCCTAACACCCGTGTCTGATGCCCAAGCGATAAATTGGCCGGCCCATGCTACAGACCTTACTCCACCTATCGCTTCAGAGAGAACAGTTGGCTTTATTCTGGATAAAAATGTTTTTTCATATAAAATCAGTTTATCATCTCCTAAAAACAAAAAATCAACATAACATATCTCACAACGCTATACACAATGAAATACTTTTATCAACCCCTTGGACTATAAAAGTGTATGACTCGTGATAGGCTTTAGAGTCTAAGCATGAAAAACACAGATCTTACTCGTGGCGACAAATTTGACAAACCAAATACAAAACGCACCAAATATAGCACTGAATAAGGCACGCAGCACTGCACATTCAAATCATAGGACAAGGGGTTAACAGAATAAATAATCAACAATACCTGTAATAAATTTCCTTCCGCTACCGCTTTTATAATAGTTAGGATCAATAGCGATACTCTTGACGAGCCTACCAAGATTTAAATTGTGATTATTTTCAGCACTGTACAAACCGTAAATAAATACTTTGCCATCATCGCTGCAAGATGCAATAAAATCACCATTGTGATCTATGGAAATTTGATTGACAGCGACTGTATGTGCTTGAAGACTTTTAGATTGTATGTTATTGCCCTGATGATCCAATAGATGTATCATACCCCAATGCGATCCCAAACAAAGAAACTAAAATATTTATTATGACGCATAGTTAACCTCTTAATCTCAATAGATAACATTTTTATAGATAACAAATATTAGAAAAATAATATCTTTACCTTAGGGTGGACAGCTATACAACTGGCGGCATCATTTTGTAAAATATGTTGCAAATCATTTCGCATTCTAACATATTTAAGCCTAGGCTCAACCTCATCTATCTCAGAATCTGAGTCATCTTGATTGTTCTGATCGGTCTGAAAGTTTAATTCGTTAAAAAATATGTCTTATTAATGTTTCATTAATTGATTTTATTATTATTATTATTCTATTAAGATTTCTTTTCAAACATATTACTTTAACGTTATTCTCTTCCATCATATATTTCTTTATTTCTATTCTCGAGGACAACTTCTAACGCGTACGATGAACTGTCAAACTTTGCAGACACGTTTTGACACCATCCAAGCAAGCCCACCTGCTTTTCTGAACTTCGTATTTTGCAGTTAGATATATCTTTCATAAATAGAAAATAAAATGGACGAGTATTCAATTTAAATAATATTTCACATTTTAACTATTCACACATTTTATTAATTAATAAAAATTATTAAATTTATTGATGTTTTTCCATTCATAATTTTTTTTTCACCACTGAAAACAATTCGAGAATAAGGAATAAATGCAACGAATCAATGAAACTCAAATTCAGATGAAAATTATTATCTAGCAGGTTTATTTCTATTCAATTGTATTTTTTTTTATTAATTTCAATTTAAATAAATGAGTAAATAAATTAATCGATTTTTAGTTTTAATATCGAAAAATCGATTTGACCTAACCTAGAATCACTAAGTTTTATGCTTATTGCTAGATCCTAGTTCCATGAAATTCGTAGAAGGTTAAGTTTACCACTTGTTTATCTCATTCTCTAGTGTTATGATTATTAATTATAAATCTTTATAATTTTTTTTTAATTACTAGTAATAATATTCGTTATTAAACTAATTGTGTTGATACAAGAAAGGTTCTTATCATAGTATTTATTGATATATTCTTAAATTTCCATACACAAATACAAAATGTTTACATCTGTAATAATTTTTCAGGCTTAGAATAATTAATACAAAAAAATATTTAAAAAGTTTCTATTTTCGTATAAAATAACGAACAGAAAAATGTCGGAATCTGAGATGTCTTCAACAATTCGATCACCTAATGAAAGAAAAAAAGTTTTATGGAAAACTTTGTCCTGCGCATTGTCTCTTCGTAAGTAATATTATGATTAATTTTAATTAAATGTTAATATTATCTCATTTTTTTTCTTTCTTCAGAAGAAAGAAATGAACACTTGGATGTAAATGATCTTAGAACTTTGGAAGAAGTTATGAAGGAAGGAAATACCGCTGTTCTGGAAACAACGGTCTATGAAAAAAGTATTATATTTTGTTTTATACAATAATTTATCTCATTGAGACAAATATTTTTTTTACTAAAAAAAACAATTTTTATCTTGCAGTGAAGAATCAGGAGGAAATATTTTTTGATTCCAAAGCAATCAATATATCGTCTAAAATTTTAACCCAATGTACTAAATCTTTAACACAAAATATCAGTTCATACAATCCCATAGATTTTTCTACTAAAATCGTAAGCATTTAATCCCCTCGCATTATGATTTAAGGCATAAAGCTGCATGCTGTATTTGGTATTGCTTTTATTTGGCTCTTAAGATTCACCATAAGTTTCACATATTGTTATAGTGCAAAGAAATTTAATTAAATTTGCTAAGTAGATGTATAGTATGAAGAATACAATGATTGATATATTTATATGTTTTCAGTTACACCACATGCTTAAACTCCCAGATACGTTATTAGAAAATCAAGATTGGTCTGTTTTAGAAACAGAAATAACTAAACATATTAAAAGAGTACCTGACTATACAACTTTGCTAGGTAATTTATAAGCTATAATTATAAATTTAATTCTTACTAAATATAAATATAAGTAATTTATAAGCTAGGTTATTTATATACTTTTAGGTTCATTAGCACCGTTAGAAAAAAAAGTAGTTCATAGAAAAGTAATGGTTAACAAAGTTCAAGCTGTGATGAAATCACCAGAAAACGTGGTACTTGCTAACAAGGATGAGGAAAGCATAGAGGAAACGGTAGATAAAATAAAGAAATTTATAAAATATTATTACAAAAATAATGAAAAACCGTTGGACTTTTTTGGCTTAATTTTACATCCAAATGATTTTGGTAAAACGATAGAAAATATGTTATATGTTTCGTTTCTTGTTAGAGATGGTATCATTAAATTAGTTAAAGGTAATTATAAATTTGAGGTTTTGATGAGCATATAATTAAGTTATTTATACTATTTTGTTATTATAGATGATAGAGGAATACTTGTAATTCAACTTTGTTCCAAAGAAATGATATTACAAAGGAAACAGGCTGGTACACATGTGAATATTCAAAATGTCATGTCTATAAATATGGAGCAGTGGAAAGTAATTATTATTATTAATCTAATTATAACATATACCAATGAAAAGTTATTTTTGAATCTATAAAACTAATTGATTATTTTTTAGGTTCTAAAAGATGTATACAAATTAGAAAGGCCTATATTAGATTTCAAATACTAAGTTAATTTTCATACTCAAAGCACTTACAAATTCCTACAGTGTTTTTATAACAATCAAATGTGTTGCATTATTGTAAATAAATATTTTTATATATTTTTGTATTACATAAAAATAAAATGAAAAGAAAAAAATTAATGAACAAATTATGAGTTGTCTCATAGTTTTGTTCAAAGTTATCTTACAAGGGTTTATTATTTTTAAATCGTTTTTATTTATATCTAACATATACTATAAAATTGTATATGTTATCGACAATACGATCACTGCGATTAAGTATAAATGAGGAAATTTTAAAAAAACGAAATTTACATTGGCGCGAATTGTATAAAATTTCTGTTTACTTATTACGTTCATTAAAGTTTAACAATTTTGTAAATGTGAAGTTTTATTACATTATATATATTTATAGTATATTTCGATAATTATATTTTACTTCAGAAAGTAAAACTAAACAATGTTTTAAAATATGAACTATCGTTCTTTTTGCAAGAATGTTTATATTATTTACCACAAATAAAATATTAACGATTAATCGTTTGATGATTTTTCTCATAGACTTATTATGGTACGTTTATGGCGTGACTTTTAACAAATACAATTTATTGTTTCGCTAATGTTTCAGCTTTAGCTACTACTTCTTCGATCGGACCCACCATATAGAATGCAACTTCCGGCAGGTGATCGTATTCTCCACCTAAAATCTTTTGGAATCCTTTAATGGTTTCTTGTAATGGTACTAACTTGCCAGCATGACCGGTGAACACTTCGGCGACCTATTTAACAATATATTTTATCAATGAAATAATTTCTCTCAATACACAAAATAAATAAAAATAAAAAATGAGATAATTCTTACCTGGAAAGGTTGAGATAAGAACCTTTGAATCTTACGGGCTCGTGCGACAGTAAGCTTATCTTCTTCTGACAACTCATCCATACCTAAAATAGCAATGATATCTTGAAGGGATTTGTAATCCTGTAAAATCTTTTGTACACCACGAGCGATATTATAATGTTCAGCGCCGATAATGTTGGGATCCATAATACGAGATGTCGAATCCAACGGATCCACAGCTGGGTAGATACCTATTTATAGATAATTAAAATCATTCGAAATTATCTAGATGTAAAATTTGATAAATGAGTTGTTATGAAAAAAAGTTATTACCAAGCTCAGCAATAGCACGCGACAGTACAGTGGTCGCATCTAAATGAGCAAAGGTAGTAGCAGGAGCAGGATCTGTTAAATCATCGGCAGGTACGTAAATAGCTTGTACGGAAGTAATAGATCCCTTTTTGGTTGTAGTAATACGTTCCTGCATGGTACCCATGTCAGTTGCCAAGGTTGGTTGATAACCTACAGCTGATGGAATACGACCCAACAAAGCTGATACCTATAAATAAAAATATAAAAGAAAATATAAAACTTAATAATATTAACAAGCTTTAAGAAAACATATTAAAGTATTATTTGAATTATATATTTACATTTGATTTAACTAATAATAGTGTACCTCTGAACCAGCTTGTGTGAACCTAAAAATGTTGTCAATGAATAATAGTACATCCTGTCCTTCTTGATCGCGGAAATATTCGGCTACAGTCAAACCAGTTAAAGCTACACGAGCACGAGCGCCTGGTGGTTCGTTCATTTGACCATATACAAGTGCTACCTTAGAAGTTTTATCCTTTAAGGAAATAACACCGGATTCAATCATTTCATGATATAAGTCATTGCCCTCACGCGTTCTTTCTCCTACACCAGCAAATACAGAGTAACCACCATGAGCTTTAGCAACGTTGTTAATAAGCTCCATAATAAGCACAGTTTTACCAACACCGGCACCACCAAATAGACCTTTATTTAAAAACAAACCAAAATGATAAGCAACAGTATAAATAGAACTATAGTATATTCAGGATTACAATTATTATTTAAATCTTACCAATCTTTCCTCCTTTGGCATAAGGAGCAAGTAAATCTACGACTTTAATTCCAGTTACTAAAATTTCTTGTTCTACAGACATTTCTACAAATTCAGGTGCATCTGCGTGAATAGGAGCTAACTTATCAGTACCAATGGGACCACGTTCGTCAATGGGTTCACCAATTACATTAATAATACGGCCCAGAGTTTCAGCACCAACAGGAATACGAATGGGGTAACCAGAGTCCAAAACACTCTGACCACGTACCAAACCTTCGGTACCTATAAATATATTACAATAGGACAGTTATATAAAAATAACATTTCACAAGATTATTTAATATATTTGCTAATATATTTTGAAATATTGGTTATTTATTTCAACTATGATACACATACCATCCATAGCAATGGTGCGCACAGTATTTTCACCAAGATGTTGGGCTACTTCCAGTACTAGCCTGGGGCTTCTGTTCTGTACTTCCAATGCATTGAGAATAGGTGGAAGAGCATCATCGAATTGTACATCCACAACGGCACCAATGACAGCAACAACTTTACCTTGAGCACCTTTTGCTGATGCTGCTTTGGCATAGTTTTTCTCTAAAAATAAAATCAATTTGTCTAATATTAGAAACGAAAAGTATTGAATAAATTGTATTTATTATTGATTAATATAATAAATTTATAAATCAGTCTGATGTCTAAACAATAGAAGTGGACTACATAACACTTATGAAAATGTTGTTACATAATATAAAATATATGAAGTATTTTTTCAGATAAAATGATTTATATAGTTTTCTTTGAGTATTACAATCAATGATTAATAATTCGTATTCTATTCTTCTGTAAAGTTTTAGACATGACTCTAAATTTTAATGAATGAAAAATACTTTACTTGTCATTAGATAAAAATAAAACGAGTGTAGGAAATATTTTCGGAGATTTAAGAATGGGATTTAAAAAATCGCATATTTCGTAATTATTCAATATTTTCGATGTATAATAAATTGAAAAAGTATTACCTTGCGAGAATAATTCGACAGACTATATAATCGCCATATTGGTTACAATAGTATCTTACTGATCCGTTCGAATAATACAATTATATAATCATTAGGACAGAAAGCACATTTAAAGATATTCGTAAATGACAATTTCAAAAGCGATTTCTTAGGTCGAAACTTTCTTATTCTTTATTCTTTAACAAAGGAAACAGAATAAATATTTAAAACATATATTTAAAACGGATAGTTTCTTCTGTAGAAAAGTTACAGTGGAGACAGCGGAAAAAGGGATGTTACACGTTATCAGAATTTTCTATGTGGAATAATGAAGTATACATAATAAACTATAATCTACTTACTGTCCACTGATACGGCACCAGCTACTTTAGCAACTTCATTTTGAAAAAGGGTGGGTTTGACGGCCCTTAAAGCCCCAGCGGCTGCCCTCGATACGGCGCTTAACATCATGGCCGGTTAAGTGAGGAAAGACTACCAAAGTATTCTTCCCTACTGCAGTCCATATCCCCTGACTACATTGCGCATACGCAACTTGTTATAATTCTATTGCGCATATCGATTGCGCACGCTTATATTCACTAATGTGATCATGTAATATTTTAACGATAATTTCCTTTTTTTTCCTTCTTCTTTCTTTCCAATTCATATAATAATAATTTCATTCAAGTATAAATACATTTTTTTCTTTATTTTTTCATCTTTAATATCAAATTAATGCAATTCTCGAATGTTGTAATTAATTATTTTTATTGAGTGTTGCAATCGATCGAAAATGATTGTGGTTTTATACCTAAATGTTCATTCATTTGCGTTTTCTTGAAAACTAACTTTAAAATTAGTTAAGTTTTATTTGTTACAAGTAAAAGAGGTTTTTTTCAAAAAATGTTATGTTAATATTGCGATTGTTTATTAATAATAATATAAAATATATATGTCGTAAGTGCTAACAATATTTTCCTTGTTTACAATTTGACTAGGGATATTTTTGTCTTCATTTATTTTACCATTAAAATTTAATTTTCTAAAGTTTCCTACGCCGAAGTCTTGCGAAAAAGTTCTTTAATATATATAACAAGTGAGAATAAAAATATTTTTCAGTATACCTTGGTATAGTAATGGGTAACCTATATTTAAGTTATATACGAACAAAATATTTATGATTGACTATTTATAATGAGTAACGATACAGTTAATAAGAATTCTGCATGCAGTTCTGCATTTAAATCTAATTGGACTAAACATGAAAAATTTTTATTATTAAAAAGTCTTAAACTTTATGGGCATAAAAATATAGCTGCTATATCTACATTTCTCTCTAATAAATCTCAAGATGATATTAAAGATACGATAAATAATTTAAAAAGTAAATCCAAGATCTTAAAGAAAAATACACCTTTAATAAATGATTGGATCGAACATAAACTAATTAAAAAGAAAAATACATTAATCCGGCAAGTATTACTTTTTATATCTCTGTTCGAAAAAAATTCTTCTGACAACAGGATATGTGACTATAGGTAAATTCTATATATAATAATTATTATATTTCACTTAATTATTCTTTAGGATCCTATCTGTTAAAACAGTTATATTCTTTTCTTCTTTTCAGAGAAATTTATCGTTATCTTTATAAGTTGTCCTGTAACATGAAAAATATCAAGCTTTCAAAACCGAATCAAGATATACTTTATAAAGCTTTTAAAGTAATAGACAATAGAATTACAACTACACCTCAACAAGACGAAATTATATTACATCTAAAAAAACTTCTCAACGAAAACAGAAATATAAAAACTTATCCGAGCAAGTAAGTAGTTTTTTTAGATCAATATATTATAATTTTATATATTTCTATTGAAATTTGTATTAAATTTATTTAATTGCTTTTTTATTTTACAGAAAAGCTACTAGTAAATAATATGAAAAAAAAAAAAAAAACACGATATTGAAAAGTATCTTGAATTTGTACATATTTACTTCTAATGTAATTTTAATATAACTAAATCCTGTTAACATATTCACTATCATTGCCACATATCTGTAATGCATCGATTTTCATTAAGAGTTCAGCATCACACATTTATGATAATCACTGGTGTCTCTTCTCTGTAGTGTGATAACAACTGCATTAATTTAGGTTAACGCCTTCTTAACTTATAATAAAATAAATTATTTTTAATAACTGTAATTTTATAATATATATTTTATAACTATTATAAACATTTTTATAGAACATTATTATTTCACTTCCATTGCTGCTGTACAATTTCTTTTTTTTATAGATTACATATGTAAGTGATTCATTTGGCGATTACAATGAAACAACTATGTTAATTAATATTGCGTATCTATTATCATAAAATATCGTTAAAATTAATTATACGTAGCAGATACATTTACTGGAAAATGAGTATATATCTATATATACGTGTGCATATATCGGCAAGTAATACGTTACACATTTATAAAGATGTGAATTTATAAGAGAATAAATTATACTTTATATTCAATACTAGAGTCCTAATGCTTTTTATAATAAATGCAAGAAATAATTAAATACTATTAATTTTGATAAAATAATTTTTACAAGATAATACAATTAGCTTTCTTTTTATTTTTATTTTTGAATTTCACCCTGTGAAATTATTTGTAGATTCCGAATTCCATTAATCTGCATAGAAGATAGAGATAAATGACACTTTTAAAGTGCTATTAATTTCCTACTTTTAACTTTTTGAAGGGAAGTTTACATCCATTGATGTATCGTTCGATTGTTCTGATTCATCGCCCCAATTCCAATTAGAATTATCTGAACTTGGATAAGTAGTCGGACTCCTGAGACAGATTTAATTTATTTTTTATTTTTCTATGTGCATGTATATAAATTTGTTAAATGATGTATTTAATGACATACTTACTTTGTGCTAGGGCTAGTTATTAAAGATGATTTTTCATTAGAACCTGATTGTTTGTCAATATTATTTTGGTAAGCATTTGGCGAGCTTTGATAGTGCTCTCCGATGCTATATTGACTTTGTTCTGCTGTATTCATACCACCAATATCGCCCCAACCTTTCCTTCCCAAATCTCCTACCTAGTAATTACTTTCATTTATTCGTTGAACTTAGTAAAATAATAATAATGAAATATTTAATGAAATATTAACCTTGGATGCTGCAAGTTCTCCAATTTTAATGGCATTTTCAGTAGCTTTAGACGCTATTTTGGACGCATTAGAAGAAAATAATTGCCAACCCTACAAAGACAACTTTTTGAATACTTATGAAAATTTGATAAGTAATATGTAAAGATACATATGTTGAAATTAATTTTAACAATATAAAATTATCTCACACTGCTTAAAGACGATACAGCATTGTCAAAGAATTCTTGAGACATACTCTTAGGAGGCGTTTCCATTTGAAAACCAAATCCACTGTATTTACCTCCTTGATTGGGCGGTATATTTCTACAAAATAAGTAGAATAAGAACAAAATTTCAAGAAAAGCTAAGAATTACTCACTCTGGACGATTAGCATTTTCGCTTTGTCTTCTAGCAAAGAAAGATTCAGTTTGAGCTTTAATGGCAGGAGAATTAGCATTCTGATAACTGGCAGTTATATCATTTTGATAAGCAGATTGATCTTGTTGTTCCGATTGTTGTTGGGATTGAAATACGGTTACTTTGGATTCGGTAGGACTCCAAGAATTTCCTTGCGCTAATGTAACAATCTACAAATTAACAAATTCATTTAAATATAATTAACCCTTTGAGTGGTGAATACTCTTGGCTAAAGCACTTTGTAGGGATGGAATGCATTATTGCTAGCGCTAGTTCCATTGATCAATTATACTTGGCATAACTAATAACAAATTATAATTGTTTTTCTCCCAGATGAAATAATGCTAGAAAGTTTCTTTCCAGCATAATTCAGGTGCGACAAAACTTGAAACAATTATTAACACCCATAAACTAACATTGCATTCTTTGCATTCATATCGACAAATGCATATATGCATCTATAGTTTACGCTGACAACTAATACTAAATGCATATATGCACTCATAGCACTCAAGAGATTAATAATAATAATATAGAATGTAAATGGTATTATTGACCTTATCCCTGTACAAGGCAGCTGCTTTAGTATTATATTTTTGAGAAATAGACATAGAGTAATCCCAATCAGGTTGAGCTTCGAAGAACTCTCGTGCTAGTTTATTACCACCAACTTTCATTTTTTCTAATTCTATTTCTTTCCATTTGTCCATAGAAATAGATCGTACAAATGATAAATGAACTCCAAGTCCTCTGTGCTTTCCTGAGCATTCAAGGCATATCCAGATGCCATATGTAACTGAAGCCCATTGTGGATTATGTGTACCACACTCGAAACACCTCTAAAGAATAAAATGATAGTAGACAATCGTAAAGCATTTTGATCAAATTTAATTGGTAATTAATGTCTTACGTTATTTTCATTTTTGACTTTAAGTTGATTTAAAATTTGCCGAGTACGTGGACTAGCCATAATGTCAATTTAGTCAATATATGTATCACAAATTAAATGCATTGCCAACGATACATGCTACACACACATTTATATATATATGCAACAATGTCCGCGCAGGATAGAGAAAAATATATCGATACTAATATCGATATATATATAGATTCAATCGCAATATCGAAATATCGATATACAACTGAACGTCGGAGAGTATGCAACACTGCCTCCTAACGCGTGTTTACCATGTAGGTTGCCTATTTGCAGGAGGATTGTAAATATAATTGTAATAATAATAAATTTACCAAACTAACTAATTTTGATTCTTGTAAATTATTAATTTAATTAAATGATTATGTGTATATGTATGTTTTCCGATATTTTTAAATAATTTTTAATTTAATTATGAATATTTTATTAAATTTGTCGTGATAGAAAAGAATATATTTGTGTGGGTCTCTAATATTTTATTGCTATAATTTACTTTATTAATATATTATTAATAATCTTCACCTTTTAATGTTGCGTCGATAAAACGATATTTTCACAAGATTACCAACACGATACCTCTCTCTCTCTCTCTCTCTCTTTTCACTACACATATAATTTTATTCTAATTCTATTAACAAAAAGAAACGAAAGTAATACAAAATGAACTACGTGACCTTCATTGTTATAGCATTGAATCGAAAATGTTTTCTTTAATCGTATTTGTATCTTAATTTTTAAACAATTCTACGAACATTTACGTCTAAACTATCGAATAATTAAATTTACAAAAGAAAAGAAAGGGGATAAGAATAAAGGTAAAAGTGTAACGAAATGGAAGGAGAAGGTTTTGGTTTGGTTGGAAAGTGAGGAATGAATGGATATGGTAGTCGATGAGTAAAGTAGTCGGTAGAGGAGAGGGGAAAGCGCGTGAAAGAGGGATAAAAAGGACAAAAGGAGAAAGAGAGGGTGAACAAAGACAAAAGAAGTTCATTACGAAGTTCAGTAGTAGTAAACCGTAGAGTACTGCAGCAGTTCTGTTCATATGATGACGAAGGGCTGAAAGGGACGTCGTGAAACGCTTCTAATACATGCATACATATACACATACGTGCATGTAGTACGAATGGTCCATATGAAATCGAATGAGTCAAGAAACCGATGGACGAACTCTTAGCTTTTTTACAAATATTAATAATTATTTACATCTATTCAAATTATATTACCACGTTTTCGAATGCATCGTTCTTGAAATCACGTAAATTAATTTCAAATAATATGAATAAAACGCTATTGTGTTTGCGAACTGATTTTTTTCTTTCTTTTTTTTTTTATCATTTGGAAATTCGTCTTTTCTTTATATCACCCCCGTACGTTTGATCATTCTTCTTTCGATCCTCCTCCCTCGGTGTCTTATTCGGGAGAATCTCTGCTCTCAACCACGTTCCGTTTCACGCGGGGACATCTTGTCCGGGTAGTAGAATAAAAGGGGCAGTGGAGCTAGGATTCGAGGGGTACGTTCGATGGATGGGGAGCACAAGGACGGACGGGGTGCAGGAGGTTGAGGGGTTAGACGAAGAGAGAGAGAGAAAGGAATGGGGAGCATTGTCGAAAAAAAGAATAGTATGCTGCTTCATCGTAGGCACGTTCACCGTGCGCGCATAGCTTGCTAGAGGGGGTCGAAAACGCGCGGACCCCGGGGCTTTGCAGAATCAGAAGAGGAAATGAGAGTAAAGAAAGAAAGAAAGAAAGAAAGAGAGAGAGAGAGAGAGAGAGAGAGAGAAAGAGGGAGAAAAGAAGAGAAAAGATGAGAAGAAAGCGTAGAGAAGAGCGAAGAGGAGAAGGGAACGGATGGAGGACGTAGTGGTACACACCAAGAGACGTTAAACCTACGTGTGTTCGTGTGTGTATGCGAATGCCGAACGTGGCGTACCAACGAAACAAAATCGATATGCATGATTCACGCACGCGAGGAGTCACTGGAAGGAGGTGGAGGGTTTGGTAGGGTTCTTACGTGGGGAGAAGGGGAAGCTCTAGATAGAGAGAGGGGGAGAGAAAACAAATGTGTGCGTGGATGAATGCGTGCTTGGTTGGTTGGTGGTTGGTTAGTTGGATGCGTGCGTGCGTTCGTTCGTGCGAGCGCATTTTCTTTACGCGTGTAGTATACTATGGAAAAGAAAGAAGGGAGGGGGAAAGAAGGGTAGGATGTAGGGTGTAAAGAGAGAGAAAGAGTAGGAACTAGAGAGTCTCTTTTCCCTCATCCTCTGTGCGTTTGTACAGGAAGGGTGAATGGTGGGGATGGAATAAGCGCGCTCGCCTCGAACCGTAATTCTATACAGAGAGAAGAGAAACACACAAGGATACGAAGAGGGGTATTCCTACGATGCTACCCCCTCGGTCACTCGATCAGTCGTGTCCGAAGTCCCACAGCGTTATAAGCTCGACGCTACGAAACCTCTCTCCTTCTCATCGTTCAATCGGAAGCGTCAGGACGCGCGCGAGCTAAAGACGCGAACTGAAAACCCAAAGCAAGAACCAAACACGCAAATAACCCCGCGCGCGCCAACGCCTCCCGCGAATTCGAATATATCGGACGAGTAGACGCGCGCATCCGCGAACGATCACGGATATAACGAGTTTACCCCTAACAAAATCTATTATCAACTGTGATTATCTATCTCTACGATCTAATCCCAATTGGAATATTCCCTCAACTGAAGAAACTCTCTTAAGGATATATATATATATATTTATGTACGCATATCTTATTTATTGCAAACGCGTCTTCTAATTTCTCATTTTCTAATAGAATTAGAATATAATAGAATTCAACTTAAATTTGAGAAACGCTTGGGCTCACGACGAACGAGGAAGCGAGAAAGCTACGATATAGTCGAGCATCTTCGTCTAGCAGGAGGAAAAATCGATCGTTCGAAAAGGCACGTGTCGTCTCTTGTAACAAATCGATTCGCATCTGGCAGAGACCCTCTCTTCTGAATACGACGCATTAAAGTTCGGGAGCTTCTTCGCGTTACCACCGAGTACTTTAGGGATTTCGATGCGAGGCGAGCAACGTGCGCCGCCGTCATTTCTTTTTGCGATCTCCATTCAACGGCGAGATATCGTTCCTTTCTTAAATACTATTTATATTATCGATCAATCTAGACAATTATTTTTTTTTTTCTAATCTCTCATCGGGGTTAAACAATATTTTTACTTAACTTTCCAAACACTTGTGTTTCCTTTTCTCCTGTCGCGATTTCATCTCATATTTTTCGTGCCCTTTTCTTGATATCCAAAATTTTTTCGATTAATTTGCACCTAACATCGCGACGACGCGTAATGCAAGATAATAAAATGAGAAAACGATGCCAAGTTGCGGTCGGCTGGGTCTGACTCCGAAACAAGATACGCCTGAGACTTAAAACACGAACAAACGGTAATATCGGTGCCTATACGTAAGTAATAATAGTTTGATGCTGATGGCCGAGCTTCTGCTCGAATAATAACCACTCGGGGAAGCATACGCTTAATTTTAATCCACACACAACAATAATATATTTCGGAAGAAGGAAAAAAGGGAGGAAGGAAAAGAGGGAGGAAGGAAGGAAGATAATATCTTCGAAGATACGCGAAACGTCCTTGTGTTTGAGCGTCATCGAGAGGAATTGTTTTCATTTTGTAATAAGAAAAAAACAAAAGAAAAAAAAAAGAAAAATAGTTTAAATCTAGCGTTCTCTAATTACCGTGTAAGTTTCTTCGCAGAAACAGTGAAAAAGAGTCGATGGAAAAGCGGGCAGGAAAGGAGAAACGCAATAACAGGTGGTTTCGCTTTGCGCATCTCGTCGTACATATACGCGTATATATATATATATGTATATCAATATGTATCCGCGTGTGTATATATATACATATATACAGGCGATGTCGCAAAAGACAAATTAGTATTGTAAGTGTGAAACATACGAAACGACGCGAAGTTCGCTCATCCCTACGCGTTGTTATTATATTTCTGCTTGTTTTTCTACCTTCCTAAAGGTAATAATGTGTTATCGATGGTATTAAATCTAGCACCGGCAGATTTTTGTTTCCTTAATTTTTCTTTTCGTTGTGGCAAACGGAATTTGCACCTAGCGTTAAGAAGAGGTAAATAAAGAAAAAGAAAAAGAAAAAGAGAGAAAGAGAGCAGAGACATATCTAGTGTCCTGCTACATTATTACGCTCCAGGGCGTTCGTGTCCAAGGGGGACGCGGAGGAGAACAGAGATGGCAGAACGAGGAGACGCGTATAGGGGGCGGGGTAGGTGTAGACTTACTTTGGACTCTGGTGTGGGATTACCGTACTTATATTCAAGTCTAATATTAAGTTACCATTTTGCTTTACGGCAAGTGAACAGGCTGCCTGCATATAGGAAGCCATCCGAGCGCTCCTGAGACAGTCTGGCTCGTTAGTTTGGGCCCACCGACGATACGTAAATCCCAAGTACCTCTCTTTCCGTCGTTCTTCTTCCGCTCATTCGGTTATATCTCTTCGCGCAAAGAAAAAAGACAAAAAAGCTCCGAAAAAAAGACGAAAATAGTAAAGCAACAGATTCATTCTCCGACATCCCCTAAAAACGTCCCTCGCATTTTTTCTCGCGGTTGCATCATCCTCTCCCTTCGATTCCAAGTTCGAATATCATGCACCATTGGACTACGGTACGTACTCACGTAGTGAAGACTCATTTGTCAATCGTGTAACGTTGTTTATGCATGTATGTACCAAGCTGAAACGGGGATTCAAATTAAATGAAAATCATTGGTATATCAATCCGCGAGCAAGATCACGGCTTGTGCCAAGCTGCGGGCTGCTTCTCTTCCTCGATGTGTAATATTATTATTTCATTTGTTTATCTCACAAGGAGACTTCTTATACTTGTCTTTGATTCTCTACGCGTTGTTTCCTTTCTTTTTCTTTTTTTCGGGGATTCGATTAAGTTTATCGATCGCTTAGATGCCCTTTGATCTTTTCGCTAAGAATTTCTAAGGTTGCAGTGTGGTCGATGTAAGCGCCGGATCTGTCTCGATTCTGATCTTCTTTGATGTTAATGTGTACGACTGTTTTTTTTTTTTAATATTCGAATT